ATTGACAAGAAAGATGTTAGCAACTACGTGACTTAATAAAGAATAAATAAGTCAATAAACAAATGAGTAAACCTGTGTTTTCCACAAATGTCGCACTTCATTGTGTCCATCCTCATATTCTTCATCCTTGCGATGTATGGTGAAATGCTCCCACCACCGCGTTTGCTGAGTGGATGCGGATCTCTGCGGAAGAATCACCTCAACGATAGCAGACTGAAATATATGAAGTGCTACGAGTATTATGGGGTTAAATGTGAACACTTGTCCTCTAAAAAAGCGCTAGCATTTTGACACTTACTGTACTAGGGATGGATAGAATTGTTGGAACACTCCCTGTTGAAACTGCTTCACGCAATGCTTTATGTTTTCTGTGCTTCTTGTCCCGTGATGAGGTTCTTAAGAAGGGAAAAAAATGCAAATTATTTAAAGCATCATAGTTTTTTGAAGCATTTGTGTAGCTATCCAACCAGTACCTGAAAACTTACAAACCTATTGAGAATCCGTTCCGTTTCATCCGCATGACAAACGCACTCCAGGTAAAACTGTGCAGCATGATTCGCATCGCTAGAGACCAGTTCTCGTAATTTGATAATTCTGTTGTCCATCTCCTAAAAATTATATTGAGTAATGGACGTTGCCATATTATAAAAAAAGTTTTTTTTGGTTTACGATCAGATCATGAACAAATTATCTACAATATTTTGTGCGAAACTGGTGGGGAAAAATTCTTAACGCGGTACGGTTCATCTGGAAAAAGCGTGAATCTGCAATAGCGTTGCCAACCTAACCTTATGAAATTTGACTTTCTTAAGCTTTCGCATTTCTTTACGCTTAAATTATTCTATACGTAATTAGAAGGTATGACTTTTGCTGAAGGAAGAAATGTCAAACGCCGTCGTATCGGACAATTCGTCCATTATTCGCGCTTCAAATTTTTCTTGGATTAAATGGTTGTGCGAATTATGGTTCGGTAACTGGACGAGTTCAGGTACTGTCGCTTTGGCTTTTTTCCATTTACAATTCTAGATATCCATTTTTAGAAAAGGCATGTAAGAATATATTTGCAAACTTAACCCACAAGTGTGCGATCACGGACTGATTCCCTATTGCAGCGTCGATGCA